GTTCGGAACGGTATAACGTGACCTGAGGTCGCGGGGTAAAAATTACTTAAGTTACATAAATTATATAAGTTATATAAATCACATAAATTGCATAAATTGCATTTATTGCATTTATTTCATTTATTATATTTATGAGATTTATAAAACTTATAGAATTTATGAGATAAAAGTAATAAATTAGATATATTATTTTTATTAAATTTGTTAGACAAATGATATTTATGTAATAAGTGAGATATATTGTATACGAATTTTACATTATAAATAAAGACCATGTAGGCTCAGTAAGAAAACAACTCCCTAGTTTACTTTTATTAGTACTTTATAAACAATTTATTAAAGAAACTCAATAAGAAGTTATCCAAATATAAGTTTATAAACAAATTCAGAATTGATCTTAGAATAGAAGAAGAAATAGTTAGTATTAACTATATCTACTAATTCTTAGCTTAGAACTTGTAATAATCTATAATCTAATTTAATTTTAAATTTGAAGAAAAGAATCTAGTTTAAGTTCTAGTATTCTAGTATATTAATCTCTAAAAAAAGTTTAAATTTACAAAAGTCAAAAAAAAAAATAAAATCAAACTTATAAAGTCAAGATTATTATTATACTAAATAATACTAAGTTACATCGTATTCTCATGATAAATAAAATCTTATTATCAAAGATTTTTAGACTGTAGAATTATTTATTGACTAACTTTTTTGATTTAATAGGAATTGAACTCTAATAGAACAGAAATAAGAAAAGAAACATCTGCATTATTTGCTGAATAAGCTTTGAGAGAAATACTAGAGTTATATCAAAATGTATTTCATCTAAATTTGATGTCTTACTATGAAGAAGAAACAAAAGATAACCAATTACTTACTATAAGATAATTCTTAAGATTCCTGAGCTGCAAGAAAGAAAATTCAAATAGAAAGAAAAAAAGAAACATCTACATTTCTTACCTGAATAAATCTCACAGAAGCCTCAGTGTAATGTTAAAGTATATACCATTAAACCTAACAAGTCTTAAAATTTTTATGTGTGATACATATAAAATAATCAGAGGAGTTTGTAAAAAGCTAATTTGACCCTCTGGACATACTATGCTTCGACGTAGTACGATGTCCTATTTTTAGTCATTAGATTCTTGTTTTAGCCTTTTATTAGTACAAACATGTATAATTAGAAGGCTTACCGTAGATTAGTGTCAATCCTTCCCAATATTTGGTTTTGTACGATGTTACAGAAATTGAATAATTGAATATATCGAATTTATGGAATTAATGGTATAAAAGGTAAAAGGCATATGTTCAAATTGTACTTACTAGTGTCTTGAAAAGTATATAAACACTGCTTTTTCCTTAAATAAGGATAACTCAGCTCACGAAGAGTTCAATAAAAAATCATCTCAGTTTTGAGAAATTAAATACCTTCGCATAATAACCCCGATACCACATTTATTAACCCATAATTACCCCCTGATAGTATAAACTGACCTTGACCCTTCCACGCCGTCTTTCAGCCTTCCAACTTAGAGTTGATGAGTTGTGGAGATTATATTCATAAACCTGAACCATCGTGTGACCAAGCCTCCGGACAAGCTTTGACCAAGGACTATTTTAGACTTTTAGACTTTTTCAACGCTTTACATATTATTGCAGATTTTACATTACCATATCGGGTTTTACATAAAATTACCAATAAACGCGGATTTTACTAGCAGGGATCGCGGGTTTCACCCTGGCATGTTATAATTACTAGACATTGACGTCCATGTTTTATTTCACAAAATTTGCTTGCATAGCATAAATGTTCAATCAACTCTAATTTATATGTACTACAAAATATATAATATCTATGGTACATATTTATGTTACGTAAGCAAATTTTATGTGTCAGAGACACTAGCTCTGCTATCGAAACAAAACAGAGACGTCAGCGTCTACAAAAATTTAGATTCCGTCATTTTTTTAAATTATACATGCAGAATTTCGAATTTATGTGATCAGGTTATATTCGGATATGAATTTTTAAGATAATGCTTTATCTTTTATTTGAAATTTGACAAATCGGGTAAAATGCAATTTTATTGATACAGTATATATTTTGCGTTATTACGAATAAAAAATTTAAATTTTACAAAAGGAAATAAATATGCATGACTTTCAGAGTCGGTTTTATTGATACGAAAAATACAAAAAAAATACAAAAATATGCAATTCTTGATCAATCTTTTTTAGTCGAATTGTTCCCTCGTTTTCGTTTTAATTTAGTCTTTATAGTTTCCTCATAGTCCGAACCCGAAGTAATATCATCTGAACTTTCATAGTAATCAAATCTTGGTGATGATGGTGGTGTTGCTCCTGGGCTAGGACTTTTAGAACCTATTCTGGACAGATATTGTATATAAGCGTAGCATTGAAAAATTGCTGGATTTTTCGATTCTATTTCTATTGTAGGAGAGATATAGAGGGCGCGTGGTTCATTTTTAGGTCTTTTAAGGAACCAATGTTGATTGTAAGTGGTAAGGATACCATATTGCAATCGATTAGCAACTAGGTACCCAAAAATTTGCCGAATAATGTCCACAACAGAAACTTTACAACTGGAGCCTAGAGGTATTGTTTCACTTCTTTCCCTCTTCAAGTCCTCTTCGTATCTCTCATGAAGTGATTCATTACCTTCTAAATATAGTATCCAGAAGGTCTTAACCTCAATTGGTAACAGTAATTTTCCAATTCGACCGTAAATGAAATCAGGTTCTCCGATAACATTATCATCCTTTGAAATTCGCTTAAACACCTCTATTGGCTGTCTTGAAGTCGTAATTATGTGAATATTATCAAATATATTGTTCTTTAAAGCTCCTCTTACATCTTCTTCATTTGAAATGTCATATGGTTTATTATAACTTTTAAAAGTTGGACGTGGATATTTCTTGATATTGTCATCAAATTGGTACAAATTGGCTTCTTCAAGAAATGAGTCCCAAAGCTTTACAGGTGATGGGGTTCGAGCGGTAGATGATTTAGTAGTGGTGGTGCTTTTGTCTAAGTCAGGGTAATATATTGGCGGGGGTGTTGTGGTTAAAAGCTCAAACTCAGTCTTGACTGTTCGCTTTCTCTTTTTGCTTTTTTCCTTGAGTTCTAATAGTTATTGAGCACAAATTATGTAATTTACTTATGTTATCAAATACAAGTAAAATAAGACTTACTATTGGATGCAGAACGATTTTCTTTTTCGCGTTCTCGGATTATGTTTTTCCAATACTTCGGTAAACTGCCTCGATTACGATCCGATTCTACCTGTTGTGAGAATAATAATGACGTTAAAGTACGATTTTTATTTAGTAACAAGGGAAGGTACATAACCGATTCCTCCTTCAGACTTAGTAGACCCTTATTACTGTAACAACTAGAAGTGCGGACATTTAGGGCAGCTACCCTCCTTTGCAAAATAAAAAAGCGCACCTTTTTCTTCAATTTTAAATAAATTTTTCGATCTAAAAACAATTTTTTTGCCTCTTTCAAAAAGTTATCAGCCCAATAATTGTCGAGGTCACGCCATCTTTGTGAAAACACTGAAGTGATAACGACGTCGCGGTGGAAGGTTAAAAACCCGTAATATGATGGATTTTCTCGTTCTTTTAAGTAGGAGATAAGTTCTGAAAAGCCAAGAATTATTAGGGAAATTGTCACTACAAGTGAAAGATTACAAAGTCAAAAGACTTACCATCATAACCAATGTATTGGGATGCCTCTTGATCTGCATCAGAAGTGGTAGCTGCGTTAGTATACATCGTCTGGAGGTAGTTAAATTTGCACACTTGTTTCTTCTTAAAAGTTTTTGTTTTAAAAATGTTTGAAGAATCGTAATAAATGTATGGAGAAAAAACAATATGTATCGGATCGGACGTGTCTATAAGTCTCACAAATCAATAGAGAACACACCCAGCCCAATTTAGAAATGATCTTCATTGTTGTACAAAACGTGTTCTAAAATTAACGTTAATTCAAATTAGTGTTAGGGTTTAGGAACAAAATTAACGTTAATTCAAATTAGGGTTAGGGTTTAGGGTTAGGATTAGAAAGAACGATAGATAAAATATACTAAAATTTTGTAAGGAAAATTTTTTATTAGAGCACGAAAGTTGGTTTCATAAACAACTTTTCAAGATAAAAGCGAATTTATAAAAAAACGCTTATTTTTTTTTAATTTCTCTTGCAAAGTGATCAGCGTGACAAATTGTCATAAATTTGCATCTTATAAAAAAAGTTATCATCAAGCATTGGGGTTAGGGATGAGAATCGATTCTCCGATAATCGATTCAATCGTTAATCGAATTAGAATCGATTCTCATTTTTGTGTAATCATTTTATTGCGCTTTGCAAAAAGATGTGATTGCGCTTTGCAAAAAAGTGTGACCCTGTGATTTTCTTTGTGATGATAGAGGAAAACTTCTGTGATTCTAAATTTCCTATTGATCAAATATTTT